GAGTCCCCACAGGTAACACTTAGGTGTGCCACTGTCTCAAAGGATTTACTAGCGCCGGACTCATGTCAAAATCCAAAAAGAAATTTGAGTTAAATACTTTTAACACCTACTGCTTTCTTTTCTTTTTTCTTTTCTTTCTTTTTTTATTTTACTTAGCACATTGTTTATTGCAACTTATTCATAATAGCTAAATTACGGAACCAAAATAGACACCTAGCAACAGAGCAACGAATGGATAGTGAACATGTGGTATATACACTTAATGAAAGTTCTTCAGCCATAGAAAAGAACTAATTCATATCATTTTCAGGAAAATGGGTGCAACTGAAGATAATCATATTAAGTGAATTAAATCCATATTAGAAAGACCAATACACATGCTTTCCCCCATTTGCAGCTTCTGGATTTTATGTTGATAAAATTATGTATATTAATATGACATGAAATTAAACTGCTGAGAAGGAATAAAAGAGGACTAATGGGAAGAGGGAGCAAAAAAAAGGGAGGAGAAGGGTTTGGAGGTAAATATGCTTAACATACAATATATACAAGGTTTCTCATTGTGACCATTCCTCTTTTTGCGTACATGACTGTCTGTCCTATCTCAAAGCAAACCACTATATTTTACGGTCAGACCTTATCCCAGTACTTAGTAAAAGTAGGAGGATTTGGCACTTACTTGGTACTTAATGTGCATTTGGAGTGAAAAACCCCTAAAATGTAAACCTTGTGTTTTCTTCTTTTCCATCACTCAAACTTACTTCTTCATTTCCATACTGTGGGATCAGTGTAGCAAATGGAAACCACTCCAGATATTGGTAAACAAGCAAGGATTTAATGCTAGAAATTCAATGTTTGTCAAATGGTCAGATGAGCTAAAACTTTGTTCTCTAGGTTAGAATCCCATGAAAGACCACCCAGGAAACCACTGGAATGATCAGTTCAGCATCCTGCTAACTTCGTACGTGTGTTCTTAGGACTGGAAGCCACCAGTGAAGCTGACACTCAGGACATGGAGAGAGCTTCAGCTTCAGAAGACACTTGGTACACCCGTGTCCTTGTTTTCCAGCAGAAACAAGAAACAGCCAAAGGAAAGAAAAAATGGCCGTTGTCTCACTTTTGTTTTTTTAATCATTATTATTTTGGGGGGGCTGCTTGGCAAGAATCTGACATGGGCCGAGGACAAAGAAATGGACTGCTTGGCAGGAATAGAACATTGGCCAAGGACAGGGAAGTGGGCTTCAGGCAGGAATCTGACATTAGGCTAGAACAAAGAAGTAATTTCAGGCAGGAATCTAAATCTTAGGCTACAACAATGAAGTAATCTCAGACAGGAATCTGAATTTTAGGCTAGAACAAGGAAGTAGTCTTCAGACATAAAAATGACTTTGGGTTAGGACAGGCAATTTGGCTCTGATATTTTGGCCATCCTGATAAGCCCTTAGAAACCGTGATCACGTGAGTGTTCATGGAATTTTTTTTTATTGCCTTGGTTGTTCTATTTGTGTTTATTGTCTTGCTTGTTCCTTGACTATTTGCATCTATTGTATTGCTAGTTCCTCAACCTAGAACTGACCTTAATACTTGCATGTAATTAAAATGGTATAAAAGCAAAAAAGAGGAGGGGAGATGGAATAAGGGGTTTCTGGAAGGGGGAAAAAGGGGAAAGGGGATGGCATCTGAAATGTAAATAAATAAAATATCCATCTACAGCTTTCTAATGATGTTCAGAGAAGTTCCTTGCCCAAGGTCACCATGTAAACAAGTAGTTAAGAAGGAGTCTGAACACAGGTGTGTATTCCAGACACCATGTTCTTCGCCTCTGTAATAAGCCATGCCTCGATGTGCTTCACTTGAATGACTGAGCATCTCAGTGCAGAAGAGTAGCAGTTATAACAGGACCACTTTGCCATTTTCAGTGGCTCTCCTATAAGGTGATCGAAGTGCTAAGAATGCCAGATTTACTAACACTAGTGTGTAGAAGTCTTTAGTATCAATAAAATCAGCATTCTTTGTGACTGTGAATCAAAAACAAGAAAGACTCGTAATGTTAGGCTTGTCTTTGAGTAAGTTCCGACTGCTAAATAGACCCATGAGGTTTGTCTAGTACAATCAGACCTGTCACTGGCCTTTGTGAACCTATTTATGAGCAACCACTACAACATAACAGCAGAGCTGTTGATTCTAAGCTAAAAATAATTTCTTAATTTCTTAAGCCTGCTCGCTCACAGTAATTATAGTGTCTATGATAGATTGTACAAAAGAATATCGATTCTACTCAGTTCATAGTTTCAGTGCCTAGAGTGACTTTGTCTCTCTCATGCTAGTTCTTTATTGGAGGAGTCTGAATTATGTCTTCTCTGATATATTTACGGATTTTCTTTTTAGCATTCAAATAATATTCCTACAAACACTCACGTGAGGCAATTCTCTCCTTTCTCATTTTGGAGGATATAATTCTCATCTCTAAATTATTATGGACCTAATATAAATAAAGAAGAATATCATTTGGAGGAATGTTTCAATTGTTACGGCTGGCACCCTATGACTCCTCTGCAGAGTATTAAAGCACAAACCAGGAGACAAAAGAAAAAGCATGGGAAAGATGAAGCCAATCCTTCCATGCCAGGATTCCTCCCTTTTCTGGAAAAGAAAGGATAGTTACTCCGTTCTCCTTGTTTATCAGCCAAGAAGGAAAGGAAACCCAGGGTAAGCCTGGAACCCATGGACCTTAACCCCTTTGACATCTGCTCTTGGTCCTGCCAAATATGAAGATATCTGGCAGCTGCTCCTGATCTGGGAGCATACATCAGGCTGCCATGAGTAACTGAGACACATTCAGGAAGAATGTTATAAACATCAAGCCTGTGCCTCAGAGTCCATCACTGGAAGACAAGAGGTGCTCCAAGTAGGTCTGTAATCTCTCCCTGCACTCATGGGGCTGTTCTGAGGATTGATAAGCTTTGTCTGATGATATTCAGGAAAAAAGAGAAATTATTTATTGTATTAAAAAAATCAGGATCTGAACTTTGTTTCCATCCATCTCATGTTGGTCTTCATTTCATGAGACAAAGACTCAAGGAAGACAGCTGTTGGAGAAAGCTATGCAGAGACCATCTCGGAAGACAAAAGACAAGAATGAATTAAATCACACTGTAGGAAAACAGTGGATTATGATGTTTTGTATGTTGACACTAATCCTGTGGCCCTTTAATACAGTTTCTTATATTGCAGTGACCCTCTAACTATAAAATTATTCCATCGCTACTTCATAACTGTAACTGTTTGCTACTGTCATGATTATTAATGTAAATCTGATATGCAAGATATCTGATATGTGATCCTGAGGGGGTTACTACTCACTATTCAAGAACCACTATTTTAGAGGAATTCAGTCAGTTATTCTACAATCAGTCATAGACAGAATTTTTTTGACACTAATTTACAGGAGATAAGCCTTAAATCCTTGAGAACCTTGATCTTGAGAATGTTTGTAAAATGTAACCCCTAGATTATCCACACCAGAATCAGCTGGGTAATTTGTTGAAAATTCAAACTCATCCATGACTGTTGAACTAGCCTCTCAAGAGTGAGATCAGTGTATCTGCATTTCCATGTTTTTATATGGGTTTATGAAAACAAGGTGAGGTTCAAAACCACCAACTGAAATGCTCACAAACCATGCAACATCAAGAGAACAACTTGTTATTATTTATCAACAGATGCATATCTGTTCACTGATGATTATCCCATGTAGCACTGTGAACTTTCAGGAACAGGAAGCCGAAGTGCAAAAAGCTCATAATGTAGACGAGGTAGATAAATGTCAGGAATGACAATGTGTTAACTGCTCAAACAGCATAATGTGTAGGAGGAGCAACACAAGACTTAGCATCGTGGCAAAGGTCACAGGAAAGTTGTGCATGATTCACAGCAAAGAAATCTGTGATTTCCCATATTTACCTGCTACAGCACGCATATATAGTTCTCATTCCATCCATGAACTAGAAGGACTTCAGGCAGAACCTAGATGGCATATGTTGTATTTGTTTATACCAGTTCATTTGCTCACTTGTCATCAATTGCTAAGTTGGGGGTTTCATTCATTTCATTCCATCAAAGGGTCTAGGTAAGGGAAGGGGGTTGACATGTCCACAGCTAGGAGGGATAAAGAGTATGTATTTATACTGCCAGAAATAGTATAGTAAAGGGACTCGTGTAGACTATCACGTTCAATTCCTGGAAATCATTTATTGACCTGCTCTATTCTGGCCAAGTTCTTGATTTTCTGCACAGGGCTCAACCAAGTTTAACTGCGGGGCCTCATGAGTAGAAGTCACTGAGTTCAGACGATGAATATCCCCCTGTCCCTAGTGAAGACAAAAGATTAGCCCAAATGGCAGACACAAGGTTTGTTTCTCAAGGGTTATTTTTAAAAGTCTAGGGGAAATCTATGTGTGTGATTACAAGAAAACAGTGGAAAAGTTAGGGCGACTAGAGTAGAAACTTTGTCATGCAACTCCTAAAGTGTCAAGTCATATTGTCAACAGTAAACAAGATGGTTGCAACTATGATTCAATGTGAAAGCTAAGGCCACCATGTAGCTCACCATACTATAAAACTTGTATTTCAAAGCATTTCTGTTAGAAATTGTCAGGGAACCTGTATTCAAATATCAGGATAATTTTAAGGACAGATTTAATGTTCTCTAAGGCTGCTTTATATAAATTCAGTAAATTCACAAACAACTACTTCTCAGAAGCCATCTTGGCTCGTATGCTTCTCATAGGCATCATCCTATGAAGAAGGTAGAGAACCACTGGTCTAAAAGAAATTACAAAATAGAACTCTTGGCAGAAAAATCCCCTTTACTGACTATTGCTGTATGGCTGATACCTTATACTTCAAGTATCTTTTGAACCAGTATTTTCCAGGGTCTTGCCTATGAAGATAATGCTCCCAGGTGGGATGGTGCCAATCTGACTTCATCTTTGTATTACCTGAATCAATTGGATTGAGTTAGATGCTTCCTGTCCAAAGAAAGGCACATCAACTCTCTGGACCAGCAGAGCAAGATGGAGACCCTCTTGTCCAAAGTGATGCACCAAGGCCTTCTTCACTTCCTGTTTTACACATCTTGTGCTCAGCTTGCTGTGTGGATACCCTGGAGTGTCCAATACCTGTATCTGCAGGCTTATTTCTTGACCTCCTCGACGCATGAAGCCATGGAGGTGACAACTACGACTCAGGCTGCAATCTTTGGTTACAGAGCCTGGAGCAAAGCTGCTGTAGAAGTCAGTACTTCCCAAAAGAATGTTCCCAGCAGAACTTTTCCCACTCTGAGTCCTGCCAAAGACAGCCAAATTGATGATCATCTTGTTGGTGTCTGCCATAGCTGTAGATAAACACGCACCACAAGGAGAGTTAGGTATCTATACTTATCAAACACAAAGCCTCTGACCTGGCCTGAGATATTTTGTGTACAGTTGTTCCTCAGTGTCTATGGAGGATGACTTACTGCCACAGAATTTACCAAAACCTGTTCATACTCCACCTACTTATATAAAATAGGGTAATATTTATATAACTTAGGCACAGCACCCTTTATAATACTCTAAACCAGTGGTTCTCAACTTTCCTAATGCTGTAACCCATTATGGTGACTTTCAACCATGAAATTATGTTGTTGCTACTTCATAACTACCATTTTGCTACTGTTGTAAAATTTAATGTACATAACTGATATACAAGATATCTCATAATCGACCCTTGTGAAAGGGTCTTAGAATCCCAGAGGGGTCAAGGACGAGAACCACTGCTCTAAATGCTGCATTTATGTCTAGATTATATTTAGTATAATGTAGCAGTAAAATTAGTGTAATATAACAGTAAAATGTAAGCACCATAATACTTTATTGTTTGAGGAACAATGACAAAGACGAAGGAAGTCTGTACATGACCAATGCAGACATGATTTTCTCTGAATATTTTCAGCCTATGATTGGGTAAATCTACTGATATAGCATCCACAGATGGAGAGAGCTTCCTGTGCTGCCCGTAATGAGCTTCCTCCTTCTTCGTAGTAACTGAAGCAGGGCCATGTGATCACCACTGATGTCTCGAGACAGAGCGGGGATTGGGACAGTAGTAACTGATAGTGGGGATGTAGAGCGAAACCAAATAGAAGCAAGGAAAGTCTGAGGAAGGACTGACTGTAGGAAATGGAGGGAGGAGCCAAATCCCATGAAGACAAGTTCACTTAGCGGGAACATCTTGGTGCCCTGGTATGGTGGAAGAGAGAATTCAAGACTGAGATTACTGAGTTTAGGAACCCATGGAGAGGATATAAAATCCACTCAGTGTTGAAGGCTTGTAGAAACAGAACAGTAGAAGAAAACAGCCAGTTCGGCTCTCTTCTTTTTCTGTTTTCTTAAAATTTTAATTTATCTATTTTTATATCTATGAGTATTTTTCCTGCATGACTGTATATGTACCACACACATGCTTGGTGCCTATAGAGGCCAGAAGATGGGTGTTGGATCCTTTCGAACTGGAATTAAGAATGGTGGTGAGCTACCAAGTATGAATGCTGGGAATCATACATTGGCCCTTGGGAAGAACAGCCAGTTCTCTTAGCCACTGTGGTATCTCTCCAGCATCCCCTAATCTTGAGACAAGAGTCTCACTCTTGCTCAGGCTGTCCTTGAACTCACTATGTTTCTTGGACCGACTTCAAACAACTTATCTGAGTTCACCTGCCTCGAATGCAGTGCTTGCAGGTATGAAGCACCATGTCCAGCCCATTCAGCTTTGTTTAATTTTAAATAGGAGACTTAGAGTTAAAAGAGATTTTTAACATAGTCAACTTTGTCACCTGTGTTTTTGATCTTAGCCATTCTGACAGGTGTAAAATGGAATCTCAAAGTCAATTCAATTTGCAGTTCCCTGATGGCTAAGGATGCTGAACATTTCTTTACATGTTTCTCAGTCATTTTCTCTATTTATATCTGGACCTCATTTTAAAATTGATTGTTGAGATCTAGTTTCTTGAACTCTTTATATATTTTGTATATTAGCCCTCTATCAGATGTGGAGTTAGTTGGTAAAGAACGTTCCCCAACCTGTGGGATATTGTTTGTCCTATTGATAGTGTCTTCTGCTTTACTGAAGCTTTTTAGTTTCATGAGGTGGCATTTATTAATTATTGATCTTGATGCCTGTACTATTCATGTTTGTTTCAGGAAGTTGTCTTCTGTGCCAATGGGTTCAAGAGTATTCCCCACTTTCTCTTCAGTGAATCTGGTGTTATGTTGAGGTCTTTGCTCCACTTGGACTTGAATTTTGTGCAGGGTGGTAGATATGGATTTATTTACATTCTTCTATATACCAACACCCAGTTAAACCAATGCCATTTGCTGAAGATCCTCCCCCATTGTATAGTTCTGGTTTCTTTGTCAAAAATTAGGTGAACATAGGTGTGTAGATTTACATCTAGGTCTTCAGTTTTATTCCATGGATTAACATGTCTGTTTTTATGCCAATATTATGTGGTTTATATTACTGCAGCTATGAAGTATAATTTAAGGTCAGGGATGGTGATACCTTCATATGCTCTTTTATTGAATAGGATTGTTTTAGCTATCTTGGGGTTTTTTGTTGTTGTTGTTGTTGTTGTTGTTTTCATATGAAGTTGAGTATTGTTATTTCAAGATCTGTAAAGAAATGTTTTAGAATTTTGGAGGGGAGTGTGTTGAATTTATAGATTGCTTTTGGTGGGATGGCCATTTTTAGAATGTTAATCCTACTGATCCATGGGCATGGACTCAACAAACAATCGAGTATAGCTATTCTAAAATTTAAGAAACTAGATGTTCGAGCCAAAATTAATCAAAAGTGATAAAGATACTTCATACACATCAAAGGGAAAATCCACCAAGGTGATATTTCAATTCTTAACATTTATGCCCTAAAGGCAAGGCACTTCATATGTGTAAAAGAAACATCATTAAACCTTAAGTCACACACTGAATTTCACACACTAATAGTGACAGACTCTTATATCCCACTCTCACTAAGGGGTAGGTCATCCAGATAAAAGTTAAACAAAGAAATAATAGAGCTAACAGATGTTATGAATCAAACTGACCTAACAGACATCTACAGAACATCTTACCCCCTCAAAAGAATATACCTTCTTCTTAGCATCTCATAGAACATTCTCAAAAGACCACATACCCACCCACAAAGCAAGTTTCAACAGATACAAGAAAATTGAAATAACCTTCTGTATCCTATCAGACCATGAATTAAAGCTGGATATTAGCAATAACAGAAATAACACAAAGCCTACAAATTCATATAAACTGAACAACTTCCTACTGAATGACTATGGGATCAAGCCAGAAATAAAGAAATTAATGACATTCTAGAATTCAATGAAAATGAATATACAACAAACTCAAATTGAGCAGACACAATGAAAGCAGTGATAAGAGGAAAGTTCAAAGCACTATTTGCATTCATTAAAAAGTTGGAGAGATCTCGTGTTGGTACCTTAACAGTACACCTGAAAGCTCTAGAACAAAAAGAAGTAAACATTCCCAACAGAAATAAATGACAGGAAATAATCAAACTAGGAGCTGACATCAGTCAAATTGAAACGAAGAACAATACAAAGAATCAATGAAACAAAGAGTTGGTTCTTCCAGAATGCCAACAAGATAGACAAACATTTATCCAAATTTACTAAAAAGGAAAGAGAGAGAGAGAGAGAGAGAGAGAGAGAGAGAGAGAGAGAATATCCAAATTAACAAAATTAGAAATGAAATGGGGGACATAACAACAGAAACCAAGGCAATTCAAAGAATCTTTAGGTCGTACTTCCAACGTCTGTATTCCACAAAATTGAAAAATCTTAAGGAAATGGACAATTGTCTAAATTGATATCACTTAGAAAAATTAAATCAAGATCAGGTAAACACTTTAAATAGACCCATAATGCCTAAGGAAATAGAAGCAATCATTCAAAGTCTCTCAACCCATTTTTAGTAGGGTTATTTGAATTAACTTCTTGAATTCTTTGTATATATTGGATATTAGCCCTCTATCAGATGTAGGATTGGTAAAGATCTTTTCCCAAGATGTTGGTTGCCATTTTTCCCTATTGACAGTGTCCTTTGCCTTACAGAAGCTTTGAAATTTCATGAGGTCCAATTTGTCTATTGTTGATCTTAAAGCATAAGCCATTGTTATTCTGTTCAGAAAAAATTCCCCTGTGTCCATGTAAATAACCTTATTAAAAATGGGGTACAGAGCTAAACAAAGAATTTTCAACTGAGGAATATTGAATGGCCAAGAAGAATCTAAAGAAATGTTCAACATCCTTAGTCATCTGGGAAATGCAAATCAAAACAACCCTGAGATTACACCTCACACCAGTCAGAATGGCTAAGATCAAAAACTCAGGTAACAGCAGATACTGGGGAGGATGTGGAGGAAGAGGAACACTCCTCCATTGTTGGTGGGATTGCAAGCTGGTACAACTATTCTGAAAATCAGTTTGGAAGTTCCTCAGAAAATTGGACATAGTATTACCTGAGGATCCAGCTATACAACTCCTGGGCATATACCCAAAAGATGTCCCAACATACAACAAGGACACATGTTCCACTAAGTTCATAGCAGCCTTATTTATAATAGCCAGAAGCTGAGTAGAATCCAGATGTCCTTTAACAGAGGAATGGATACAGAAAAATTGTAGTACATTTACACAATGGAGTATTACTCAGCTATAAAAAACAATGACTTCATGAAATTCTCAGGCAAATGGATGGAACTAGAAAATATCATCCTGAGTGAAGTAACACAATCACAAAAGAACACACATGATCTGCATTCACTGATAAGTGGATATTAGCCCCAAAGCTCAGAATACCCAAGATACAATTCAAAAACCACATGAAGATCAAGAAGAAGAAAGACCAAAGTGTGGATGCTTCAATCCTTCTTAGAAGGGGGAGCAAAATACTCACAGGAGGAAATAATGAGACAAAGTGTGGAGCAGAGTCTGAAGGAAAGGCCATCCAGAGACTCCCCTACCTGGGAATCCATCCCATGTACAGACATCAAACCCAGACACTATTGATGATGCCAAGAAGTGCTTGGTGACAGGAGCCTAATATAGCTGTCTCCCGAGAGGCTCTGCCAGAGCTTGCCAAATACAAAAGCAGATGCTTGCAGCCAACCACTGGAATGAGCACCGGGTCCCCAATGGAAGAATTAGAGAAAGAACTGAAGAAACTGAAGAGATTTGCAATCCCATAGGAAGAACAACTCTATCAACCAACCAGACCCTCCAGAACTCTCAGGGACTAAACCACCAACCAAAGAATACAC